GGCTGCTGCCGGAGCAGGGGCCAAGAGCAGTGCTCCTCCGCCTGCGACAGCCAGGAGCACAGCTCAAACTGGTCCTTTGCCATGCTGGGCAGGCGGCGGGTGAGAAACTCCCTGACCCTCAGCACCCACTTGGCCTCCTCCATTATGTCCCCACCTTGCCAAGTCCTCTTGTAAGTTAGTTCCCCCTCTCTCTCCTCCAGAGGAGCACCCAACTCTTTGAAAACCGCCCATATACCCCAAAGACTGTCTCAGAGGAGCGGGGAGGGCTGGGGGCTCCTCGCGCACCCCATCCTCGCTGTGTGGGACCCAGCCTGGTCTTGCTGGCTGAAAGGAAGAGAAACCTTCGGCACAGGGCAGCAAAATGGAGCCATACTTCTTGTAAGCAGAACAGATAGAGGATAAAAGCTAGCTTTGTGACAGCTGTAAATACCCAGCCCATCTGCGGCTCAGACCACAGCCTGAAAAAACAAGCCTTGCAGGGAGGTGACAAGCCCAGCTACTGCAGCAACAGAGGCAGATGAAGCGGGATGAGCCACCCATCCCATCCACAGGAAGCAGCGGGAGGGGGTTCAGCCTTTGTTTGCTTTCCAGCCGGGGTCTCCTGCAGAGGCGGCCGGGCCCCGGGGCCCCGCCTGCACCTACACCAGGTCCCCTCTGCTGTAAAGAACAGCCTCTAGCTCCTACACTGGTTTATTGCAGCAGGCAAATGCTGCTCTCTGTGCCTGTGCAGACGTAAGTCTGTTTTGCTGCACGCATGGTTCTTCTTGCAAAGGAAAGCCGATCATTTGTGTTCATAAAGTGGTCATTACAGAATTAGATCTGTCTTTCTCCTGTATTTTAGCTGTGCAGTTTAAGATGAAATTGGGTACAATTTATTTGCTACGGCTCCTGTTTTGATACTGGCATTTTGTGCGGTTCCCTCAATTGACAAATTGCACTTTGCGATAAAAATTCGGGGGCATCAGAGACGCCGAGTTGTCTGTCCTGGAGATATTTGCCATACGGTGCAAAGCCATAGCAAACCAGAACGCAAAAACCAAACGCATGGTTCAACAGACCACTGGTTATGCGCTGGTATCTTTGCTAATGGTGAGAAAATACATTTAGCCTGCGGCCAGTAAGACAGAGAGTAATTAAGTGTTAAACCTAACGTTAATGAAATTTGGATTGAGACTTCAGGTTGGTGGAGGCGGCGGTTCCCAAAAGCAGTGTGCGCCTTGCAACTTCTATAGGGCTTTCAGCATGCCGGCGTTGGTGCCGTAGCGGTGCCCGAGGCCACAGGGCACCGTGTGGCTGTTCCCCCTCGCTCATCCCCTCCCGGGGACATGGCATCGCCTGTCCTGCCCGACCGCAGCCTGCACCTCCCAGTCTTCAATTGCAAGTCGTAGTGTTCAGGAGGCTTTGTTTTAAAAAACCACATTTAACCTGGTTTGCCTCCTGGTAATTATTTCTTGCAGGAACAAAGTGGTGGTGTTGTGCATTAATCGTTAAAGCATGTCGATAAGCACGAGCTTTCTGCAAGGTTTGGCGCTGCTTTTTTAGCTAATAGGGTATATCTGAGCAGATGGGATTCTAGTTTAATGTACGTTCATTAGGATTTTTTTAGTCTTTTTACCTTTTCCTTAGGGAAAAAAATGGTGAAAAATGTATGTGTTTTTACTATATGTGTAAGAAAGGTTTGAGGGATTTTTGTGACTTGTATCGAGCTCAATGAGAATGGAAGCCGAAATTTTGTTAAATAAAGGCACTGCCACATACACTGAGGGGATGAACTGGGTGTTTCTTGCCCACACGTCCTTCCCAGGTTTGGATCCGTACACATCACCTGTTTCCGAGGACAGGATTTACATCTCCCAAAAAAGGCCAGCGGAAAACCTTGCTAACAGGGTTTACTATGCATGCCTAAGCGTTGGGGTGTGGAAGTCACAGCTGAGGACCCCGCAGGCGTCGGAGCAGGTTTCGGCTCCCGAAGCGATGGGTGGGGTGCAGTTTTGGGAGGCAAGGCAGGTTTCTGAGGGCAGGGGAGGGGGGAGCACGCCCAGGGGCAGACGCTTCCCCATGGCAGCTGAGCCCCACCGCCCCTTCCCAGGGATGGGGGTGAGGGTGCTCCTACCCAGGGGGTCCTCCCAGCCCCAAAAGAACCCTCGAGTCATGCAAACAAACAAACTAGCATGCAAACCTTAGCTGCCACCGACCAGCAGTCCTGCCCGCAGGCCTCGAGCTCCTCTTCCCTGCATGGCGTCCTGCCGGCCCCGGGAACTTGAATTCTGGGGCCTTCTCAATGAAGGTAAAAGCTTCTTTGCTCCGCAGAATGTGGTGGGAAATTTTCATGCTTGGTCGGCGGGTGAAACTGTTGAGGGTGGTGAAACGGCGATGAACTTTCAGCAGTTTGGGGCGGCAGGGTCGTCCCTGGGTCACGCACGTCCTGCTCTGAGTCAGGCTGCTCCCCGCCGCTTTGCCGGGGGAACCGGGGGACCAGGGTTTTCCCTCGCGGGGTCTGTCCTGCCAGGGCCGCCTGAAGGAGGCCTGTCCTGCCTTCCCCCCGAGCTCATGGGGAAGCTGCCTCCCTGCGGCCCCTCCAGCTCCAGCCTCGTGGCGTCCCTTGTGCTGGCCGCCACTCAGTCATGGAGGCGTTTGCTGCCATTACCCCCTCTTCTGTCTTTCCAAGGGCCGCTGTCTGCCAGCAGCCCAGGTCCTTGTGGCCAAGCCCTCCAGGGGCTCCTCTGTCCCTCTGCCCTGAGGTTTTAGCTGGATTTACCCCACCGACATCCCTCCTGTGCCTCCCTAGGGTCTCCAGCCTTCAGCTGACACGCTCTCCCGGGAGGGGGGGTTTCTCCAAAGGCGAGGGCTATTGCCTCCCCTGCCCTACGGCCCCTCACGCCTCCCGTGGGACACTGCCTGTGCCTTACCCACAGCTCCAGTAGGACGGTCACTGAGCAGTTGCTGGAAGTCCTGGGAGAGGCCTGAGATCTTCCACGGCTCCCCTCCCCTCTCTTTAAGGCCATTTTTTTCCCAGATGTTCCCAGTTTTGGGTTGCAGTCTCCTTTGCTGTCCCTTTTCTTTGAAGGAGCAGCTCGGCTTGTCTTTGCCCTAAGCGTTGCATCGTCACCCTGAGACCCTTCATGTCGACTCCTGGTCCCCACCTCAGACTTCTGAGAGCCAGAAGTGTGCCAGGACCCCGGATTTCACCCAGGTGGGAACCAGGCCAGACCTGCCTGCTGGCCTAACGCACCCCAACTGTAGTGGGGACAGCCGCGGCAGTAGCTTCAGGTTGTTGTCGATGCGCTACGGTGAAGGGCTGGGAGGCAGCTGCGACCGCAGTGCAGGCAGTCACGTAGCACGGCGCCAGCCGGCTTGCGGTACGAGGGGAGGAAGCTGAGAGCGCCTGTGAGAAACTTTCACTCTCTCCAGGCAAACCCGCCTAACCCGTGCCCGCTCCTGCCTGAAACAGAGACGTGCTTTATAGGAGCGCCTCTCCCAGAGAGCAGAAAAGCGATGGAAAAGTGTGAGAGAATGGGCATTAGCGCCGCAAGCGTCTCTGAAGTGACGGTAGATAAAGTAGCCGCGGTGTAGTCGTTCCGAAACCAGAACGGTCATTCTGAGTTTGGTATGTGCAACCACACCATTTCCAGGTATGATCTGGATCAATTACCCATCATTTAACTAACCAGACACCGTAGTCCCAGTGGCCCCAAGTGCTGCCTGTTTTTTCCAAGCCTCCGGGGCCATAAGTGTTTTGAAACCTTATATTTAGACTTCAGAGCGTCCCTGTGACATTTCAAGGGCTAACGGAGAGGATGCCGCTGTCTCCTGGCAGCCTCGCAGGGTCCCCACAGCAGAATGTCATACTGGGTGTGCCAAGGCCAATATTTGGGGCACAGACCAAGAAACAGGTGGGTTAAGGCCCTACGTAAGGCAGCACTAGGGTTGGGAGAGCCTTGCTCCCAGCACCAAGGAAGAGAGGAGGTATTGTCCAGTATGGCTAAACATGGATTATCAGAGATGTACGCAAAGGCTTTCAACAGCTACAGCCTCCCCTGCAGAGCTGTTGTACGGCAAGGTATGGTCATTTACATGTGTGTTGGGTGTATGTAAAACTCAGCCTTTGCAGGTCCCTTGTGCTCCAGGTGATGCTTCGCTGGAGCCTCTGCCCCAGCAAGAAGCAGCCCCCGAGCGTGGAGCGGGGGCTGGTGCTGCTGCTGGGGCGCGGGGACAGGAAGCGTCGCAGCCTCCACCCCAGCAGGAAACTCCTGCGAGGAAAGGGAAATAACAGGTCAAAGAAGCGATGGCTGGTCGTGAGGGGGCCCGCTGTCCTCCTCACCCCATTCCGATGCTCCCGGCAGCTCAGGTGAGCCTACGCGTTTACCACGAGCCCCGCGGCTGGGACTACAGATGCAAACAGAGAGGCGGCACGTGAAGAGGGCCTGCGACTCGCACAGCGCTTCTTGCCCTCCCGCAGCCACGCAGTGTAACCTGGGTGTACGGAGCCGGCCAGGACCTGGGGAAAACCAGATGGCAGCCCTAAGCTGAAGGACGGCGCTGCGCGGTGTCGTGGACGATAGTGAGTGCAATTGCTGTCCTTGGGGTGGCTTCGTTTTTACGTCTGAGGGGAAGCAAAGGCAGATGAAAATGTTTCTCAGCCACAGGGCTGTGTCCTTGCTGGGGGAGGCCCGGCTGCTCTGAGGACACGGTGGTATTTTCTCTAGCTTGGGGGCCAGCTCACTTAGTACTTATTTAAGGATCTCCGCTGTTGCTCTCCTGTACTGTACAGATGTGGCCTTTGTCCACCAGCATGACAAACTATTTTCTGTTTTCTTTATTTTCTAATATTTTTTCCTGCTTAGAAGTAGATCATGCAATCATCTGATTTATCTTCCCGACAAAGCTATCTCTACAAGGCAGAAAAGGGACAGACATTCTCAATGATACAGAATTTTATTTTTTTAATTCCTGAGGTTAAAAAAAGAAAAAAAAAAGCATCAAGAAACATTCCAGTACACAACCGTCTACATCTCTAACTGTACAGACGCTGCTATACATAAATCTCTTCTTCCCGTATCTGGAGCGTGAAGTTTGATGTGAACAGGGTTTGCAATTCTTTGGCAGTTAAGACCAAAAGATGCTTCCGAACAAGTTACAATCTCAGTGACTGAGCGTAATTAAAACTATAGTGCAATTTCAACTTTAAAAAAGAAGCAAAGTCAGGCTTTTGTAGCTTTGCTATTTTGTAACGTGGTACACTCTCGTGCAATACATCTCAGTGATTTTTCATAAAGCAACATTGAGTAACGTTAAGTAAAGGAACACTGCCATTTTCTTAAAGCAGCTACGTTCTTTCCTTCGCATAAACCCCTGCATAACAAAAAATATTACCCTCCGTTGTTCCAGCACCCAGGAAAAGACACCCAATTGCTTATACTGACCACAGTGTATACTCTCTTTGCCCCATGAGTGTGACATCCCCTTAAATTAATTTCATGATCAATTTTAAAAATTTGTTTTCACTTAATTGCATTC